TCTGGTTTTTTAAAGCCATTTAGGTCAGAATCAGAAAGAACGAGGTTATTTGCCATGATTCAAAATAGGATTTATTTGTTGAATAGATGCATGCACATAATTCAAAAATGAAAATTTCAAAGGGCAAACAATGAAAAGATTCCCCCTCTACTCAGAGCCACCTAGTTTCCATTTCCTGAGGTAACTATGGAGATCTATTGTCACCATGAGAGGTCGCCTCGAGCTGTATTTTGTAAACTGTGATTCCAGCCTAGTAATGGATTACTTTAGTGGATCCTGACCAGCATTTATTTTTTTAATGTTTAAGAAAACAATTTGAAAGGATCAGCGTGGACCACATGTAGTAAGGGTAACTATCGTTTCACACAGCTTGTGTTTCAGTTTTACACGTAGCACAAATGTATGTCTGAGTCACAGGGTGTAAAATGAGACTTTATTCTTCTTACATTGGAGTGACATTCAAAACAGTTTGAAAGATACTGACCTGGCAGGCCTACCCAGTTGGAAATCAGGAAGGTCATTTCCACCCAGAACTTCTGCCCTTACTTACCAAGAGTCACTGCGAAACTCAGCAACCTGAGTGACCCTGTAAAGCAGAAGTCAGATCCCGTCCCTTATCTGTTCAAAGTCCTCCAGGGACTCCCATCTCGCTAGGAATAAACGCATGAGAAAACATGTATCTCTATTTGTTTGTTGTATTCGCATCCTAAAAATATTACAAAATCAAATTTGATCAAATTTGGAGAGACTATTGAGGCCAATCTAACTGAAAATATGGGCTCTGATGTAAACAAATATGAATAGGGGTGGGGGTGGGGGCCTCTGGGATGGGACTTCACAGAAAAAGGCAGCACTCTTCAAAGCAGGTGAAAACAAGAATGGATAGCCACATTTAGGGCCTATATGTCGGATGATCTATATGAAAATGTAATTTCTACAACCTTCGTAAAACCCCCTTTGGAGAATCCTGCAGGCACCTCAAGGAGACAGAACATTCTGCAGAACAGCTGGCCCATACCCGGGGAGACAACCAGAGAGGCCTCCCACTGCATCCATGAGAAGATGCCCAGGACAAAGAAACAAGCAGCCACGTAACCAGGAGCCCCCGATCTACAGGCTTTGAGCAAAAGAAGCCGTTTCTCACGCGGGTAATTCCTCTAGCCTTGGTCCAAGGTGAACAGCAGTAGGCCTGACAGTGTCCAGTGTGCTGCTGCCTGGGGCAGCCAGTCACATCATAAAATAATGAGGCCAATTCTCCCCACCTCAGATATAGGAGTAGCACTCAGCAGCAGAGTAAAGGATGACACCACACACCCTCCCGCTTGTCCCTCTCCATCTCTCTCCACTCTCCACTCTCCTCTGTCCCTAGATGTGGCAGTTTTGTCCATGTGGGGGCCCCAACTGGAATCAGTCATGGTGTCCCCATGAAGGCAGGGGTAACCCAACTGTGACATGGCAGCTCCTGGAAATCAGGGTATAAAACTGTGGCTTATCTGTTTATTTGTTGACTTGGCTACGGTCTGTTTGTTAGACATGTAAGCTTTTGTGAACCAGGATCTTGTCTGTCTTGTTCTCTACCAGGCTCTCAATGACAAGGACAGCATCTTATCCTAGGCAGGTACCCAATGAATATATCTTAAATGGATGAATAAATGGTAGCTGTGGTAGCCAGTAGGCTGTCTAAGCACAATCAGTCATCAGACAGATGCTAAAAGGTGAGTCTGCACCTCTCTGAACCTGGGAGGCAGCCCTGTGTGTGCCCTCTAGGGTGACTGGCCAGTTTGACATGAGTTTGGTATAACTGTGCCTTGGTGTATTTCCCAGGTGAAAACACATGGCAGGTAGAAGGAAGCACACGAGCAAAAGCACTGAGGCTGGCAGGGGCACAGGACACAGCAATTACCAGAAGTGACCAAGGTGCAACCTAAATGTTAGGTGCCTGGGAGGGCATGGCTGGAGGCCAGGCTGGACAGTAAACTCCAGCTGTGGAGATGCACAATGTTAAGAAGTTTACCCTTTATTCTGTAGGAAACTGGGGATTCCTTGGCAGCTTGGAAGCAGAGATATGACATGATCAGGTAACTCTGGAAGCAACGTGAAAGAAAAATCAGAGAAGAGGAGGTTCTGTCATTAGAAAGGCCAGTTATGAGGCTATTACACATGTCCCAACTCTGAGATAACTGGGGCCAAGATCAACATGTGGCCATGGAGATGGAGAGGGAGCCCTGTGGGATAATTAAAGGAGGTGACCAGTTGGTAATGTGGGTGTAGATGTTAGATATCAAGGTTGGATATTCAGCCATGAGAGTCATATGGGTCCTGCTGAAGTCATAGAAGAAAATAAAATACCTAATTTGAGCAATGGATCATTTAGAAAATCTGATGAAAGCAGGTGTTTTAGTTTCAGAGGCTTCACAATACCCACCCAAAAGCCAAATAAAACTCCATGGCCATCAGTTAAGAATGCCTGGATGAAAAGAAGAAGAATGGGAGAGGAAGAGTCCCAGGGAATGACTTCACCCAAGGGGTGGGCAGAGGGAGACAATGGTCCCCAACCTTTCTCAACTGGTACGGAGACATTGACCACTGCCCATCAAAGAGATTAGATAAGCAGAAGAGAGGGTAAGAGGAGAGAATGAGAGAAAAGGAGAACTTTGTTCTTGAGGTCAGAGGCCCCTCACACAGCGCCAGGGAGGCTAACCACATGGCAGAAGATGAAAAAAGAGATTTTGATTTTTTAGATGTCTGGAAACAGCAAATTGATCGAGTAGGGACAGCCAGAAAACCTCATCAAAGAGTTCAGGTGGGCCGAGAAACAGGATCAGACAGACACAAGTGGAGTGCAGAACTGTCAGGAAGCTGGAAAGGAAAAAGCTTCCAGGCCAGAAGCAGGCATTTTTTCTTAGAAAACTCAGCAAGACTCGTTTCTTGAATGAGCTAATAATTTCTATACTTATATACATATGGACTGCAAATGTTTAGGTGTGTGCAGCTGCCTATATACGTGCTTAGTATTGTATGCATACACCAAATAACCTATCTACATATACACACATTTACATATAATTATGCATTTACATAAAGGTATCTGTGTATCCATTTGGCATATACACATATGCATATACAGTGTAAGTCTAGAGGAGTGTCATTATTTAATACTTATTAAACATCCACATGCCCCTTCTCTCTCTCTCTCTCTCTCTCTCTCTCTCTCTCTCTCTCTCTTTCTCTCTCCATATATATATATATATATATATATATATATATATATATATATATATGTCTATGGCTGAGGACTTGGTTCTTTCTATCACTCCAAGTTCATGAGAATTTCTTTCTGGTCTCAGTATCAAGAAGAGTTGATCTTCTCTTGAGCAATTTTCTTTCTTTGTTGTTGTTGTTTGGTTTTTTTTTTTGTCTTGCATGTGACAGGAATTGAATTTTAGATAAGGTTTCCTTTTGAACTTGACTGCTAGAAATCCAGGAGACAAGTTTTTGTCCTACTTGAAGCAAGTGTATTGGACTCTATGGGGTGTATTTTCAGGGGGAAAAAAAACCTTTCATTTCTGGCTCCATTTTATGTCCCTTATTTTTCACTTTTCATTTCACACACTTCTTTTGTAGGTTATGTACATTTGTAAGCGTTTTTTTCAGGACAAGATAGCATATAAATATAGTAAAACCTTGGATTGTGAGTAACTTGGTTTGCAAATGTTCTGCAAGACAAGCAAACATTTCTAATACATTTTAACATGGTAAACGAGAGATGTTTTGCAATACGAATAGTTTGTTTCCAGAACGCATTATGCTCACAAACCAAGGTATTACTGTATAAGGAATTGTATAGATAAAGTTGCAGAGGGAGGCTTTAAGGTCCAAAACATTATAGCTGGTAAGAAACCTATTATTGTGGCTGGAGTTATGGCATGTGCAATGATGGGTGTGTTATCTGGACAGTCCAGCAGTGATTATAGGGAGTCAGATCTCAGCCCAGTCATAGTTCTCTTGGCTGTTTACTAGTTGTGTAATGGGAGGCATATTATTTTGGAAACCTTCATTTTCTCATCTTTAAAATAATGACATCTTGGTATCTGGGGGCGATGGATTAAATGAGGCGATGTATAGAAAGCATTTAGCACAATGCACTCAAATCAACATTGGCTCTCATTGTTATCCTCACTTGGAAGCAGGGGTAGGCCGCCATTCCTGGCCAGGTCTGCCCTAAGAAAGTTCTCACCACCTCTGTGCCCCTCTCCCCACATCTCCTACAGCCACAGAAGTCAGGCAGCTGTGTCCCACCGCATATGGGTCACGCCCCAGAGCACATCTTCAAACCCGCCGCTTCTTGCAGGGTACAGAGCACGTATCTCCAGCCGTCTTGCAAACTGCTACCAAGAAGACCCCCAAAGACTCAAGCTAAGGCAAATGCATAACTGTATATTAGTTCCTCACCCCGCCCCCGGCTCTGCACTCTGATATACAAAAGAGGCCTGCGAAGGGACAAGGGGTCCTCGCGAGGCAGAACTGAAATGCAAGACGGCAGCGGGGCGGGGGTTCCCCTGAGAACCTCTGGGCGAAGCCGATTCCAACCGGCGCACACCTGCTCTCCTGGCGCAGGTTTGGAGGGACCCAGGGTACCCGGAGCCTCGCCAGTCCTGCAGCTCCCCTTCGGACGGCACCCTCGGGCGGGAAGAGGTAGGTGGCAGGGGTAAAAGGAGAGGACTTAGGCGCTGGCCTCCGGGCACTACCGAGTACTGGGGGCACGTTTCGGAGAAGAGCTGCTGAAGAGCGCCCCACACTTCCTACAGCCGATAACATCAGTGTGTCAGGTGGTGCGTGCGGGCGAGGGTGAGTGCGCGCGCGCGGATGAAGGCGAGCGGGCGCGCGCACACAAAGTTTGTGCCTGCGGGTGCGCGTCGGGCGGGCTCACCCGGCTCCGAGAGCGGCGGGTGGGCGGCCCGCGGGTGGAGAGGCCCGGGGCGTCCGGCCCCGCAAGCAGCGGCGGCGGCGGCGATGCTGTGCGCCCAGCTGAGCCCGACCCACCGCGCTAGGTGAGGCGGCTCCTGGAGCGCGGCCGCGGCCATGGGCACCCTGGGCAAGGCGAGAGAGGCTCCGCGGTGAGTAGGGGCCCGGGGCCCTCGGGAGAGCCAGTGTCCTTCCTTGGGTTGGGGGCCACTGCGCGAGCGGCCCCCTGAGATTTCTCGGGGGTGGGAAGAGCGGCGGATGACACGGGCGCTTCTTTCTACGAGAAGTTGCCCGCTGGGGTGCGGACGGCCGCAGGCCGGGGTCTCGGCTGAAGTCCGAAGAGACTCGCGCAAGGGACAGACGCGCAAGGGACAGACGCGCAAGGGACGGAAGCGCCTGGAGCTCCCAGCGCGTCTCACCCGGCAAGTAGGGGAGGGAGCTAGGCCGGAGTGGTGAGGTCCGCGCGGCCAGAGTTCGCCCAGCGAGCTCCAGAATTGCACTGATGGACCTCCTCGCCGCCAGGAACCTGGGATTCCCACTTGCGGACTTTCCCGGTCGCCCGCACCTGCTGCGGGCGCGGGACTGCGGCACCGCCACCTGGCGGCCTGTCCCCGCCCGGCGGAGCTCAGGAAGGCCCAGACAGGCCAAGGGCGCTTGCAGAGAGTAAGCAGAGGTTAGCGAACCATATAACATTTTGGGTGGAAACCTGTACCCCGCTCTAGATATTTTAGAGAGATATTTTAGAAGGATCTTGGGGTGACTGAAGATGAAGCATGAGTAACAGTGAGTGAAAAGGCTCTTAGCAGGAGAAAGGCCTGGAGGGGCCAGACAACTTAGGGTTTGTCCCCCAAAGAGCTAGAACCGGACCACTTCCTGGGCGACGACGACCTGTGTTCAGCATAGGGCTGGACACGCTGTTGCGTGTCGCACCTCCATCCACTCAGACTCTGGCGTGACTGCACCGTGCGCAGCCTGCACAAGCGTGTCCATTAGAAGCAGGAAGCTTTGCCCTGCTGGACTCCCTGGAGCTAAAGGGCCTCAGCCTCGTATGCACCTCCCCACCCCGCCCTGTATCCCCTCGAGTCCAGCACTGTACCGTGCCTTAGACTGAGGGGAAGGGCTTTAGTAAGTTAAATTGAGTCTATATTATGGGGTTGGGGAGAGAACAGGACTAGAAGGAACACTCACTAGAAGCCAACAAAAACCACCTTCCACTGCAAAGAAAGTCGTGGAAGTTTCCATAACAAATTCAGCCTTAAACTGTGACCTATTCTGAGGCACCTGTGCCTGGAGAGAATTTCACTTGAACCAGTTCCGAGTTTTGACAATCTCCTTCAGCAGACTTGATGAGGCCTTAGCCAAATTTAGCCTCAAAAACACCTTCAAGTTAATTTGTTTCTCTTGCCACTCCCCCCAGCCCCGTTTTTTGTTGTTTTTTTTTTAATTCACGGGGGACCTGGCCAGGAAACACTTGGCTACTATCCTTTAAAAATAGGTCTTGGCAGACTAGAGGCTATTTGTTCTATGGATTCAAACACCCTCAAGACCTGTCTATAATGAAATATTTTGTAAATTCTTATCTATGGCCATTTCATCAGAAAAGACAATGATTTGAAGGTTTGTCACAAAGCAGCCAATCAAGAGACTGCACAGCCGAAGAGCTGAGTTTCCCTGTTGATGGTGCAGCTTACCCCCATCTTCCTCGACCTCTCAGGTTGCGATTTGGTGTTTAGTAGCTTTCTTCTCCCTGGTTTCGCATGCCGAAGCTGCCTGAGTGTCTCTGGGCTACATGCTTCCCAAATTGCATTTCTGACCCTCCTCTCCCGCCCTCCTTCAAGCTCTTTCTTTCTCCTTGAATCTACCCCAGTTCCTCCTAGTTCTGGTAAAAGCATCTCCTCTTGTGAGCCAAAGTGGTTTCCCCTACTGCTGACACTAGGAACCATTACTAGAATTAGAGCCAGGGCAGTTTTCAGAGTCCAAATGGTAAAAGATGGAGTTTTCCTTGGACCTTCCAGCTGAGAGACAGGTAGATACCTCCCAGCCCCAGAGGGAAGCGTTGTATGTTGGGGTTACCAGCCTCTTCTTACAAGTACCTCTTCTCCAGAGGCCAGGAAGAAGGAATGTGGAAGGCCTAAGAGAAAAAGAGACCTGTACCAAGAGGGACATTATTTTCCCCTTTCCCAACTCTGCCTTGGGTGGAGGTCGTAATGGTAGAAAGGCAGTGGCTAAGGCAGAAAGCTGGTAAATTCCAACCTGACCACCATCCCCCTGTTTAGATTGTTGTCAGTGCTTACTGGAAGGGGAGGGAGGCCAGCTGGGGAGCATGGCATGGGCACAGGAGGCCTGGCTTCCACCTATCTCGGCACCTGGGGCCAGTCACGTTGCCCTTCTGAGCTTGGACCTCCATAGCTCTAGGAGAAGGGTTTCGAAAATGACCATGAAGAGAGTCCACCCAGCTCTGGGGTCTAAGGACTGTTCCAGGGACCTGCAGAAGGCCTAGGTGCCTGAGAGTCAGCCCTCATGTTAGCAGCTCTGCTGTTAGAGGATGTTACTTTTGTTTTAAGTCGAATTGACCTTTACAGCCCCTCTTGCGAATTCTGATGCTCAGTTCCAAGCACAGTAAATATTTATTAAACAAATAGAGCCAGAGAGGTGCCCAGTACAAATCCCAGATCCAGTACATGTGAGTTGTACAGCCTTGGCTATGTCATTTAGCCTCTTTCAGACTTGGTTTCATCATCCTGAAATGGAGATATCTTTCTGGGCTGTAAGCTTTAAAGATCCCCAGCACACAGTGCCTGCCATGTCACAGGTACTCAATTCATGGTGGCCGTATGATTTTCTCCCATTTTTAGATACTGATATGATCCTGGGGCTGTCACAGGGCCTGGGTAAAAATCAGTAATGGCCAGAAGAAACTTGATCAAGCCTTGTAACACCAACTTGATCTTTCAGAAATCACTGCCTGGGTCAGTGGGTTCCCAATAGCCAGTTGCTGATTCAATGTCACTGGGCCCGCCCTGCCCACCCTAGGTGGGAACAGCTCAGCAGCCACTGCCAGCCCAGTGCTTTGGAGGTAGTTTGAAATGAAGCACGGAGGGCAGGGTGTTCCATCCACAAGTCTGGCTGTGTACTGAGTGGCCCTATAGTTAGGTAATCTTTTCACAGGCCCGTTTCCCAAATCCCATGTGTGCCCCAGCATTTTATTTTGATCTCATCATTTCTTTAGCCCCTTCTAGGTGAGATTATATCTTGTCAGAGAAGCTTTCCCCAGCACTCCACCTGGAACTGCTTCTCCCTCCTCTGAGAACATCCCACTTCTCACCCTTGACACTCACAGGACACTGAAGATCGATAGAGTTATCTTTGCATGGTCTGGGTCTGATTCTCCAACGAGATTTTTGTTTTAAGGAACTGCCAGATGACCTTTATACAACAACAACTAACATCTAACAAATATGTTTTACAGTTTACAAAGTGCCTTCACATAGACAATCTCACTGGTCTTCTCTGGCCTATGACAGTGTCTTGGATAAGCGTTACTGATTAAGTGATGCCATCGTATGTGTACCAAAATATATAGTGAGTAGCTGAAGTTATGGATCTAACGTATATTTCCTTTTTTTCTTTCTTCTTGGCTTTTTGTAAATTATGACATAACCAAAGCACAGTAGGGACAGGAGAATTAACTAGAGAAGTTACCAGCAACAACATCCATCTCTATTAAACCTTTAAAAATTGTAGAAATGTGTCTGTGCATGTTTATCTTTTTTTAATGGAAGGGAAACCAAACGTGCTTAATTAGCCTTCATTTATCATTTTGCAAACAACTTGAATTATACTGAGAGGTCACGGCCAAAGGTAAAGCTAGGTGAGAGTGGACAAAGGTGACCTGTCGGACTCCAATGCCATTTTCAGACTCAGGCTTGCTCTTTTGCCTTTCAGCTTTGGAATGAAGCTCTCATAAGTTCTGTTTTGTTTTTTGTTTTTCAATAGGTAAGGACCCAAGTAAGGACTTGATAGAGTGATGTTTAGTGATAAAAATGGCTCATAATGATTAGTATCCATAATGAAAAACAGAATCTTAAAACCAACCAAGAGCTGTGAGACAGGCAGGACTAGCTTAAAATCTAAATACCGCACTCAACCCTCACCCCCTGCACACAAGTCCTCCGTCTTTGACTTTACCCCCAAAGCCCTTAAAGATATTTCCGAGGCTGCCTGACCTTCTATAGCATCTCTGGTGTTGCTTAAGATGAACCAATTTAGCTGAAGATGAGACCACCTGAAATTTAATTCTTAAGCCCGAAGTCTGTGGCCTTGAGGCTAAAGTTAAAAATTACTGCTAGGAGCTGGGGACTGCGAAGATAGTCCTGCCTCTTCTTCTCCCCTTCAAGAAACGGAGCCATCATGCCAGAGCAGTCCTAACCCCAGAAGGATGAGCCCGAGTTGCAACCCTGAAACCTCACCTTGTTATTTGCTTGGGAGATGTCTCTTTAACAGCCAACCAGTCCGTTTGGTGCATTTGCCAAGTGGGAGGGGTATATCTTCTATCAGCCCAACTCCCGGGATTAATTGTCTTATCTCTACTCCTTTCCTCTCCAATCTGCCTCCAGAGCACAGAGCTGCCAGTTTGTTGGTCCCCTGGCTGCTCACAGCTTGCACTCACTGCCTCCTTTTTTCCCCCCCAGGAAACCTCATGGCTGCAGAGCTGCCCCTAAAGCAAAACTAGAGACGAAGCCAGCCCGCAGCCCTTTTCCTTCCCATCCCAGCCTGGCCCAGATCACCCAGTTCCGAATGATGGTGTCTCTGGGACATTTAGCCAAAGGAGCCAGTCTGGACGATCTTATCGACAGCTGCATTCAATCTTTTGGTGAGTTGGCTAACTGCCCACATGTATAAAAAATCGTTATATTACTTTGTTCTTCCTTAAAAAGTACTTCATAGAATAGCAACCTAGATTGTATTTTTGGCTTTAAAAATAGCATTTGAGCCTTGGAAATGTTGGAGACTGTGCAGTGCCTATGGCACATGACTGTGTGGGTGGAATAGGTCGTGATGCAAGGTGTGATTTCAAGTGAGAAAAGTTAGTGAGGAGATTTTGCATTCCATTTTTCTCAGGACGGAGGCTTTTCTGCTGACAAAAAAATATCATCAAATGCTATTGTGCATCTGCTGCTTTGACTTTTTTTTTTTTGCTCTTGTGTTCTTGGGGCACACAAAGAATAGGTTACATGACAAACACTGTTATCAAACACATTTCAAAGCCTTTGAGTCGTTTGGACCAAAAAAATCTTAAAAATGCCCTTTAGAATCTGGAGGGTGATTATGCTGGAATAGGAGAGGATCCGGTGAAGCCAGAATGTCTGACTAGAAGATGCTGGTTAACAAGCATTGCGACTGAGGGTCAGGGATCGGGGAAATAAGTGTACAGACACACGGTGGCAGTGAATCTAGACGCTGTACTTTGTCATCACCTGTCCTCGCCATGACCGATGCACAGCTTAGTGCAGCTGCAAGCAATTATCTGCAGAGATGCCCTATTTTTTTTTTTCAATTTTATAAGCACGGTCTTTCTTTTGATTGTTAGTATTTGTGAAATAGTGCTTGAAAGGCACTAAATACTTGCTCCCCTCCCAAAAAGGAATGATCAAAATTGATGGAAAAGTCATAGATTTCCAGCGTCACTAGTCTCCTCTGCATCCCCCACCCTCACCCCCATTTTGAACCCCTCCATCTCCTGCCATGAAGCAGATGAGCTTTCGGATCAGCTCAGAAGTGCCTGCCCAGCCGGCGCCCTGGCGCCTCCTGGGAGTGTAGGGGTGCCTTGATCAGATCGCAGGTAGCACAGCGTGCAGATCTCTGAGGACTTAGAACTACAGATTACTGGCTGAACTTGTTCCGTGCTGGGTCAGACCTTACTTATAGAATTGGGAGAGACTTGACAAGTTGGGGGTACTCATTTAGTACACTTTAGTACAACATTGAAAATAATAGTTTTGATGATTTCAACATTGGTGTAAAGCAATCACTCTCAAATGTTAGTGCAGAGTCACATGGAGGTTTTTTGATAACAGGGGTTGTTGGGCCCCGCCCCCAAAGTTTCTGCCCCAGTAGGTCTGGGTGGAGTCCGAGAATTTACATTTCTCACAAGTGCCCAGGTGGTGCTGCTGCAGCTGATCCAAAAGCCCCATTTTGCTTTATTGTTTGTGGTACATTTTTTAACTCAGAAAAAAGGGAGCATTTTTATTATTGCTAGTTTAACCTTAATATTTAATGAAATTTCTATTTATTCACACTTTCATCTTTCAGTTAGGGATGAATTTGGAAGCTGAATGAATGGTTTTCTATTTCAAAATAATCTCCTTAGAAAATATGCATGCAACAAGATACACTAGGAGACAGAGGAGACTAGTGGAAGTGTGGCTGTGATAACTTTCCTTTTACCTCGTTCCCAAACTTGAATAAACTGCAAAGTTCCTCACACAGGCTTGGTGGTCATATTTACTGGTCTTTAACGGGGCACGGTGACTATTCCATGAATAAGGATTTTTATTCCCTTTTCCATTCATGGTTGAGAAAAGAGAGACCCACAATGTATTTGTCATTATTTGTTTCCCCCTCTCATGCCAATCTTGCAACTGCTGCCTGAGTTCAAATAATGATGACATCAACCTGAAAAATACATGACCGATTCTGAAGTCCTTCCCTAAAAGCACCAAGCCTAACCCACTCCCCTCAACAAGTGCTCCAAGGGAGAAAAGACACATGGTTTCCTGGAATATGTTGAACTAAAGAAGTACCTTAAACTCCAAAGCTGTAAAAAATCCCACTGAGTCTAATAGTCTTTTATCCATTATCAAAAGGCATTGATTGAACCCCTCATTGCGTCTGACACTGTGCTGGGCAGTGCACAAGGAGAATTAGGGACTGAACCCCTGTTCCATTATTTTAGCTTAGCACACCTGAGAAATGCACTGGTCAGGAAGAAAACATTGGGTTGTCAGAAAAGTCATGACGTATTTTTCTGCGTTTTTCGTTGCAAAAATACGTCATGACTTTTCCGACAACCCAACAGATACAAAAGACAGGGCAAAAATAAACTAAGCACAGGAAGAATAAATTCTTGATACCACGTAGTGTTTGAGTAAATTCGCTTTAAGGGTGAGAACATAGATTAGGGAGAACGGCCACTATTTATTCAAACCCCTCTTGGGGCCCAGGGAATGCTACGGGAAGGCAGGAAGACAAGACCTCAGGGCTTTGTGTCTTATGTACTGCAGAGTTTCCTGCCACAGAATTTACATGAAAGGGGCAAAAATGAAAAGATACCCTATGTCTGGAGGGAACGGGAGACAGCACTTCGCCTATGGTTTTGACTTGTAGATTATCAGTTGATGTGTCTGGTGCGGGAGGGGAAAGGAGGTGGAGCCACAGAGATAAGTGGGGCTGGGGATGGGTAGCAGACAGAGAGCAACCCGGGGAAAAAGATGTGCTTGTGCTCCTTCCTGGGGGTCTCTTCAGAGGCCATGGAGAAGCGTACACAGTGAGGCTCGGTTCTCTTGAACCTTATGTTACCCGTCATTTCCTCGGGTTTGTATAGAAAACTTTTGCTGTAGAATAAAGCAATGTAACTTAGGCTTTTTGTTAATGAGTTTAGATGTTGTCTCATTTTAATACCCATGAAAAGAGAGGGAAATAGTACAGAGGTGGGGGAAAGCTATTCTAATTTTTTTTTTGGTAAGATCTCTCGCTTCAGACCCTGATTGCGGCCACTCTGACTTGAAAAAAAGAGGAGAAAAAAAAAAAGCTGTTTTAAACATAAAAACTGACTAATTAGTTAATTTGCTTTCTGCTGCTCTCCCAACCCTACCTTCATCCTGTTGCTTAGAGGAGGTTTGAAGTGGCCAGAGCTGTTCTGTCTGATATGGTAGCTACTGGCCACATGTGGCTGTTTACATATACATTTCAATTAATTAAAATATCAAATGTAAAATGTAGTTCTTAAGCCTCACTTGTCATATTTCGGGTGCTCAGTAGCCATGCGCGGTAGCTGCCTCTGGACAGAGGAACTAGAGAATATCTCCATCATCGCAGAGAGTCTGTTGGGCAGTACTAGACAGGGTAGATGGCTGACTTGAAGGGGAAAGGCGACAACAGATAGATCTTCTGGAAACTGTGAGAATTGCATTTTTCTAGGATCTCTCGGTAATGGTCTGAATGCTTCCTATCATGGACATTGGCAGTCTTTACTGATGGCTCTCTCTTTTGTATTATTAGCCATTAATTATCCCCCCACACTGTTTTCAGAGGGAGGGCTTATTACAGTGCTTTCAGGAATGGGGGATCCACGTGTACAAATTCAGGGTACTCTTGAAGGTCTCTAGCAAGCCTCCCAGTGTCATGTCCAAGGTTACAGATCTGTGATTAGAAACTCAGAGCCTTGAGTCATAGTTCATTACTTTAACCATGAAACAACCCACTCCCACCTTCTGTTTTAATCAGAGGTCATGCTTTACACTCTCAGCATATTATTGCTCGTTAATCCACTCTTCAGCTGCACATAATGAGGGAAATCATCACAACCTGGTACATTTATGTCAAATGTATGTGAATCATACCATCTATTTCAGAGGTAAAAGAGACCTATGAGATCATCCGGGCTCTTTTTTTTTTTTTTAATTAATATTTTCACATTGTAAGAGGGCTGCCAGCAGTTGGGGCTAAATGGAAGGCTTCAGATGTCCAAATTCACAAAGCTCTTCCCTGTCCCCTGCTCAATGCAAGACAACTTCTGACAACATCAGAAAGAAAACTGCCTACATGTGCCCCAGCAAGCAGCCCTCCTGCTCGCTGGTGGGATGTGGGAGGGAACTCTACGTCTTTGTCTTACCTGTCAGTGTGAAGGGAAACACAGCTTAGCTAGTAGCTTCTATTGAGAGCGTTGTTTATTTTTTCTCTTAGCGCGCCATGATGTATTGATTGTCTTTTAAACTCAGAACTTCTGAAATAGGCAGGTCAGATATTATTGTCTCCTCCATTGGGCAAATGAGAAAAATAAATCGCGTCCCTGAGAATTGAAACTAGCCTCATGTCTCCAGTTTGAAGAGAAAACACGTTGCTCACATCTTCCTCTGCCCCTGGCAGCCACTTGCAGCCTGGGCTCGGGTCCCTCTCCTAGGACAGGCCCCCGCTTCACTCAGGGGAGACCCGCAAGCCACACAGAAAAGGCCTGCAGCCTGGACACACTTTCTGCAGGCCTGGTGTCCCCCGTATTAGAAATTGAACTCCATGAAATACAAGAAATATTTATTGGACTCCATCTTTATGCCAGGTGTCAGCCTGAAAATTCTCTGTTGAACAAAGTGCTAAGTGATTAAAATTACCATGTACATTATACTAATACTATGCAATGACCTCCCAAAGTAGAAATACCTGTAAGGTAATAGGTATATTTCCCACACCATGGAGCAGTTGTATAGACCTTAACTTATTAAGGGGAAAACACTACACCTGTTTTTAAAACAGGAGCCATGAAGACAACACATACTGGTTTGACCCCACACACGACAAAGGGAAAGTTAGGTATTCCTTACCACTCTGCGACTTAGAGCCTGTGCACCAAAGTGAGGTGCCCAGAGGCAACAGGAACACAAGACCAGAAGCCCAGGGCCATGACATTAAAGGACACTCAGATCCAAGAATGGGCAACTCCAAGGAACAAAGCCATGTGTAGGGTCAGTCAGGAAGGGGCCCAAAGCCTTGGCCACTTCACAAAGAAGACCACAGCAGTCCCAGCAGCCTCCTCCGTGGAACCCCCATCACTGGGAGTCATGACCACAAGGTTTCACATGTAAAGGAGGGTCTTTGGGG